ATATGGAAAAAGATCTATGCAGGAAGATGCTCATTCCAGCATTTAAAATATAATAGCAAAAAAGGGGGGTTAGGTTGAAATGTCTAATAGCAGTAAGATTATTGAGTAAACTGTGGGAAATCACTGGATTGACTATGAGCATCATCAAAAAATACCAATATGTGTTTGCATACCAATGTGGAAAAATGTTTATAAGTGCAAAATGTAAAGAGATGTAATTAGGATGATTAAAACTACTAAAAACACAGAGGAAAGATACAACAAGAAAAAACTTTCAACTCATATCCAGGTTTCTGATCAAAGCTAAAAATATACACATTTTAAAAAGCCAGTCTAACATTTGACATTGTTGACACTTCCAAACTACCCTTCTGTGGAATATTGCTATTCTATGAGTTAGTCCAGTGATTCTTAAATGTTGAGAATTTGTTAAAATTTAGAGACCCTTTCTCTAGAGTCATGTGCATATGTGAACTGTTTGCATATAATTTCAGAGATGGATGATGATCAGTGGAGATCCTGAAGAAAGAGAGAGTAAGATGGTGGCCAGAATAATAGTTCTCCTAAAGACATCCATGTCCTAATTCCTGGAATCTCTGAATACGTTATTTTATGTGCCAAGGTGGTATTCAAGTTGCAGATAGAATTAAGGTTGTTACTCAGATGACCTAAAAATAGATCATTCTTAATTATCTGAGTAGGCTCAATGTAATTCCACAGTTTTATAGAATTAAGGTTGTTACTCAGATGACCTAAAAATAGATCATTCTTAATTATCTGAGTAGGCTCAATGTAATTCCACAGTTTTTCTAAATGTGGAAGAGGGAAGCAGAATAGTCAGTGTCGGAGTGGTGAGATGTGGGAAAGATTGCTGGCTTTGAAGATAGAAGGGGGCCATGAGCCAAGGAATGAGGGCAACCTCTAGAAACTGGAAAAGTCAAAAAACCAAATTCTTCCTTAACATCTCCAGAAAGGAGTGTAGCTCTGCCTACACCTTGATTTTAGCCCACTTAGATCCATTTTGGACTTTTACCTCCAGAACTATAAAATAATAAATTTCTGTTGTTTGAAGCTGCTAAATAAATTCATGTTAATTATTATAGTAGCAGTAGGAAAGTAATATATGTCCACAGCCAATCGTACGTGTATTCATGTGTGGCTGTGGTAGTGAATATATATTTGTACATACATAGAGATGCAGTTCCTGGTTTTTTCATAATGGCCTGGACTGGTAAATAATAGAAATGGATCTTATTCTTGACCCTTTATCAAAAGAAAATTGAAGGGTTTTAATAAACTTTTCATTGACATATATAAACTTTACATAAAAAGCATTTAAAATTATAACTCATGGCTTTCTCAGAGACTTTATTGACTTGGGATGAGCCTTGTCCTGGAAGTTGAGGAGGACAGGAATCTATTGACATTCATTTCTTACTCATTTTAGCAAACAGAAGTAAAATTGAGAACTTTTGGTCTCTAGGATATATGACCAAGGATATGTGACCAGTTTTCTATGACAGTTGAGCCTCATGCTACATTTCTATTCTTAATATGTAAAAAACTTATGTCTGGTAAAACAAATCTATAGGGAAATAAGAAGAATAAAATACAGCACGTTCTCTTTTGGCAAAGAAATGCTTACGTGTTTAAAACAAATTAACTTTTTAAGGCAGCTCTGAAGAAGTAATTTATTTTAAATAGGTGAACAGTTTATAGCTCTTGTGGGAACACTTTTTCCTTACTTTTCTTCATCATAGGATTAGGCCCTATGTTTTTAATTTAAGTCCTTTAATTTTTGCTGTTAACATTTAATTTACTTGATGACCCCATACTGTTAACTTTTGACCCAGTGAACTTGGGATGGTATATACAGACTATATACCTAATTTTTAGAGAAACTCTTAAAGAAAAAAAAAGTTTGAAGTAAAACAGAAGATTAAATTCATTTCAGTGTTCCAAGTAGAGAGTTATCATACATAATTAATCAAATAACTTTTTTCCCCTTTTGGGTGATGTATTTTTGTAAACCTAGTGTTTTTTTTACAATTAGATGTTTATGCCATTGGCAAAATAACCCAAAGCTGATGACTTAATTGCAATACTTCTAATAAACCGCAAAACTACTAGTATAGTAGATAAGAAACTTTTTCCTGACAAGAAATTTTTATAGCATGTAACTAAATCTAATTATCTCTCCATCTATCTTCACTTACACCTAATTTCCTTTCCTTTATATAAAATTGAAATTCCTAAATTTTAGTACTTTAGTTGTAAAAAAAAAAGGTAGTATATACAGTTGTTAATTATTATAAAGCTCAAAGCTTCTTCTAAACTACCTGATGTAAAAATACTTTGTGCATAACTTTTATTTGCCCTTAAAACTGGACCTGTGGACTTGCTTTTGAACTGTTCCCCCCAATTATAAAATAATATATGAATCCTATCATTTATTGAACTGTTTAACATGCAGCTTAATAATTATTATGGGTATCTTTAAATATGCCACATTTACTTTATTCAAAAGTGAACAGACAGTTAAGCAGTAACTGCCATATGCTATACACCATTAGGTACAAGGGTATTAACAAGTTTTCTGATCTCTGGAAACAGTGCAAGCTATACATGTTTCTGTATAAACCTTCATGGCTTGTTAATGAGGTAACATGGTTGTTGTTTCATAATCTAAATACTAGAGGGAATGCTATAAAATATGCTTTAATTTTATTACCATTTTTTAAATAGATGGAAGTATTTTTGTGTGGTTTTACAACGTCATGGAGGGAAATAATGAGATTTTGCACCAGGGAAGTAATGGTTAGAATAGAGATCAGGAGAAAAGTCTAGAATGACTCCCTAGTTCCTGGCTTGGTAGTAGAGTACAGTGGTAACCAGGACAGAGACAAACGGAGGAAGAATAGGGCTTTTGGGAATGTGTTTGTATGTACGGGTGTGGGATGGAAAATGGAAGGGAGAGGGAGAGGAGAAGCTCAATGAGGCCATGTTGAAGATTAAGTGCTAGTGGGATATCCATGCAGAGCAGTTCACTACAGATCTCAACATACGCATCTGAGGCTTAGGAGAAAGGCCTGGGCTGGAAGCAGATGTCACTGAATAGGTGATCATTAAAATTATGGGGGAAATGGCCACCATTGCTCATAGAGACTGAAACAGTGAGAGTAAATGAGAACCAGCCTTATTAGTAAATGGGCAAAGTGGAGGCAGCAAAAGGAGAAGAAATAGCAGAGGGATGGAAGGAAGCACCAACTGAGCTCAGTGCTGGAGAAGCCAATGGGAGAGGAGTTTACAAGGAAAGACGTCAGGAGGGTCAGAAGATAAAGACAGGTTCAAGTAAATTAAAAAAGATAATGGGATTTGGCAGTTTTGCTATTAGTAACGTTTGCCAGAACATTTGCAATGCACTTTTCATGCACTGATGGTGGCAGAATTCTGTTTGTGTTGGGTTGAAAAGTACAGTAAAGTTGAGAAAGGTTACAATAGATTTCTATTATTTCAAGGCTCTTCATCTCTTCTTCAGAGCAGAAATAAAGGATGGTAGTTGTAGGGAGGAGGTTACAGGATAGAGAAGGAGACTCCATAGTGAAGAGAGTTTAACATGTTTATAAAATGTGGGGGAGAGTCAGCAGGGAGGAGAGATTAAAAACAGGAGGGATAAAGGTAAAGCCAGACCTGTAGGAGATGAGGGAATAGATCAAGGGTGCAGGTAAAGGTACTGACTTGGCAAAAGCAGAAGGATCTTCCTCTGAGGTTAGAAAGTAGGTGGTGAAGATGGTTATAGGTATAGCTTATAAATGTAGAGAAAAAAGGTGAGGGAGGTTCATAGCTAATAGTTTTGATTTTCTTCTGATAAAGGAAACATAAAAGAGGTAAGGGCACACAGGTGAAGTAGCAAGTTTGAGTTGAAGTAAACATATCAAATACATGCTGTAAGGAATGGGAGAGGGAGTTCACCAGGGAGCAAGGTTATTAGCAATGGATTGATGTACTGGGGACTGTAGGATACGAAATGATATGTAGCTCTGTGAGAGATTGTGGTTTGAAAGAAATGGGAATAGCTGAGGTTAAAATAAGGTAAGAAAGGAGGTGTGAAGGGAGTAATGGAGTGAAAAAAACACTGGAGTGATAAGTGGCTGTGGTCAGAGATCAATATATTGGAGTCCAAGACTGTGGAGCAATTTCGTGGTATGTGGCTCTGGGTATGGACGGCTGAATGAAGTGGTTGTAAGATGGTGAAGTCAGAGTTCAAGGCTGTTGGATGGGTTGTCTGTATGGATGCTGAAGTGGCACACAGTAGCAGAACATGCAAGGGAGGTGGATACTGGAAACCAGATGCTGAAGTCCTCGATGAATAAGGGAGGGAATGACTGGGCAATTAAGTAATGGGAATGAAAGAGGAAGAAGGAATACAACATTTCCAAGATTGTTGATCGTGCCCTTTTTCCCTCCCGGAAAATTAAGAGTCATGAGGGCAAAGACTATGTCTTATTGCTGCAAATATTTGCTGACTTAATGAATAAACAAATGATGACCTCATTATTTTGAATAAGTATTTATTCATGTTGAATTAGTATTTCTGAAAACTTTGGGTTTTTCTATTACAAGAAATTGATATTAAAGAAAATACAAACGAGCAAGATATAGGAAAAATTAATAATCCCACACTCAGAAATAACCACTGTTAACTCACTGTTACTAAATTTTCACATCTGTTTGTTATTCATATATATTTCCTAGCAGTAAATATTCAACTATAATATACTTTAATGGCTGAATAAGCATTCTACTATAGAATATAAGGATGTACCATAGGCAATTTCTTATTTGGGAGTATTTATATTGATTCCTACCAATTTTTTTCTACTGGTAAAAGGAACAATCTAATAGTTAAATTTTTGCCTTACTTATTTCCTTAGGATGCAGTCTTGGATGTGGATTTTCTGGTAAGGTCTTCATAACAAGCCTATTTATCTTTATTTTAGGCCTATTTCTAACAGCCTTATTTATGTGAATTCTTATTCTAACCTGGATTGGAATCAGAAAATTGGACAGTGTTGCAGGTACTGATTGATGCAGGCACACTGACGGCCACAAAAGTGAGAACTGGTAAGTGAAAGTCCTTCAAAGGAATAATGATGTTTTAAAAACTTGGAATCAAGTACACTTTTCATGGGTACAATAAGAAATGATCCATCAGCTGAATAACAGGATATAGTGGTCAATTCAGAAATATATATTTAAATTAAATAAAAAAACCTCTATTTGTTGACAGCATCCGATTTTAGGAGAACTTTTAATAAAATAATGAATAATCACCAAAATCATTGCTCCTCACATTTTTTCACAAAAGTATGGTTAATAGCAGAGAAGAGTGAATAATTGCCCTAGAAGCTTGGTCCCAAGATAGTTTCAAGTTTCATGTTTTGTCTTAAATTTGAAGTGAATGTGCATTATATACCATAACAGTCCTATGGTTAGTATAAATATAATGCTTATATTTTTTTCCCAAAATCTCTTGAGTAAAATTGGTATCTAAGAAGTGATCCATTTTTACTCAGTGGCTTTTAACACCCTGGCATACCACAAGTTCCCCTTGCCCCAAGCTGGATTTTCAGAGGCTATTTCATGGTTGGATAATACACTGCTTTTCAGTTCTCTCCTACAATTTAGCCAAGGCTATTTATAGTAGTATATGGCAGAGAGTAGTAGATTAATTGATGCTTACCCACTTTGAACCTGAGAGTATTATAGAAACTCTGAAAATTCAATATTTTGCCAACAGACTGCACTACAAGAAAGGTTAAAAAAAGTCCTTCAGACAGAAGGGAAATGATACCAGATGGACATACAGATTTATACAAAGGAATGATGAGCACTGGAAAAGGGAACTACATGGGTAAATGTGTACTTTTTTTTCTATTTAGTTTTCTTTTAAGATAATCAACTGTTTAAATAAAAATAATAATAATGAATTACAGTGTTTACAACATGCATAAGTAAAATATATGACAGCAATAGCATAATGGCCAGGAGGGGAAAAATAGAAGTATATATTTGCTGTATGTGAAGTGGTGTAATATCACTTGAAAATAGACTGTGATAACTTATATAGACTACAAACGCTAAAGCAACAAGTAGAATAACAAAACAGTATTAGGTAAAAAGCCAACAAATGAGAAAAAAATGGAATAATAAAAAAAGTTCAATCCAAAAGAAGGCAAAACAAGGAAGAAACAATAAGCAGATGGAACACATAGGACAGATATACCAAAGAGAAAATAGTAAGATGATAGACTTAAATCTAATCATGTCAATAATCACATTAAATGTAAATGATCTAAAAATATTTATTAACAGGCAGAGATTGTCAGATTGAGTAACAAGCAAGGTCTGACACACTTTACATACAAAACACAAAAACATTAAGAGTGAAAGGATAGAAAATGATATACCACACTGATGCTGACACCAGTCTAAAGAAAACTGGTATGGCTATATTAATATGCAGAAACAAAGTAAGATATCAGAGCAAAGAATATTACCAGAGATAAAGAAGGTCATTTCATAATAATAAAGGGGCCAGTTAATCAGGAGTTTATAACAATCTTAAATGTTTTTGCCCCAAATAACAATAGGTTCAAAATATGTGAAGCAAAACCTGATAGAATGCAAGGTGAAACAGAGAAATTTACAATTATAGTTAGAGATGTCAGTACTTCTCTTTCAATAATTGCTAGAACAAGTTGAACCTTAGCAAGGATATAGTAAACTTAAACAACACTATCCACCAATATCACCTAATTGACTTTTCTAGGACACTCCACTCCCAATAGTAGATACATATTCTCTTTAAAGTGTACATGAAATATTTACCCAGAATGAGCATATTCTAGGCTATAATGAGCATATTCAATAAACGATTGCCTTAGGGCCAAATCTAGCCTGGATTTGGCCTATGAACTAAGAATGGTTTTCACACTTTTGAAAGATTTCTTTCAAAAAAATTTACAGAGATTGTGGCTCACAAAGCTGAAAATATTTGTTATCTGACCCTTTATAGAAAAAGTTTGTTGACCTCTGTTTTAGGTCATAAAACATGTCTCAGTACATTTTAAAGGATTCAAGTCATACAGTGTAGGTTCTGATCACAAAGGAATGAAATTTGAAATCAATAACAGAAAGCTAACTGGAAAGATCCCCAAATACTTAGAAACAAAATAACATGCTTCTATATAATACACTGATTAAAGAAGGAATCAGAAGTGAAATTAGAAAGTGTCTTGAACTGAAGGAAAATAAACATATAACATATCAAGTTTTGTATAAATGAAATGTCTGTATTAGAAAATACAAAAAATATGAAGTCAATGACCTTAGCTTCCACCTTCAGACACTAGAAAAGGAAAGCAAATTAAACACAAACACACAAAAGCCCATGAAATAATAAAGATCAAAGTGGAAATCAATGAAATGGAAAACAAACATCAATTGAGGATATCTATGTACTCAAAACCTGGTTCTTTGAGATTAGTAAAATTGATAAATTTTCAGCCAGACTGGTCAGGAGAAAAAAGAGAGAGAAGACACATATCAGGAAGACCAATAATCAGGAATGAGACGGTGAATCATTACAGATTCTATATATATTTAAAGGATAATAGAATATTATGAACAAATTTAGGCAAAAAAAAATCAGCAACTTAGATGAAATAGCTAAATTCTGTGAAAGACATAAACTACTGAAGTTCACTTAAGAAGAAATAGATAACCTGAATGGTCACTTATCTATTGAATTATTAGTTTAAGATATTCCCACAAAGAAAATTGGGGTCCGCAGGGCTTCACTGACAAATCCTTCCAAACATTTAGGGAAAAAAATAATCCCAATTATACACAACCTTCCAGAAAAGTGAAAAGGAAGGAATCCTACGCAACTTGTTCTTTGAGGTCAGCATTGCCCTGATACCCAAACCACACAAAGACATTACAAGAAAAGTCAAGCCAATCTCTCATGAACATAGATGTAGAAATTCTAAACAAAATTTTATGAAATAAAATCCAACAATATATAAAAGGGTAATATTATTATTGGGTGGGGTTTAGCCCAAGAATACAGGATTAGTTTTAACATTCAAAAATCAATCAGTATAATTCACCATGTTAAGCTAAAAAAGAACACCTGATCATCTTAATAGGCGCAGAAAAAAAATTTGACAAAGTCCTGATTTTAAAAGTCTTAGCGCACTAGGAATGGAAGGGTGCTTCTTCAATCAGATAAAGGACATCTACAAAAAACCTACAGATAACCTCATACATACGGGTGAAAGACCACAAGCTTTCCCCCTAAGATCAGGAACAACACAAGGATGTCTGCTCTGACCACTTTTCTTCAACATACTCAGATTGGAAAGAGGAAATAAAACTGACACAATCTTCCATCTATTCCACTTGGTGGAATTGACAAAAAGCTACTAGAACTAATAAGTGAGGTTAGCAAGATTGTAGGATACAAGATCAATATATAACAATCCTTTATGTTCTATGTTCTAGCAGCAAACAATTAAAAATGGAAATACAAAAAATACAGAGCTTTTATAATAGCATAAAAATATGAAATACTTGTGAATAAACCTGACAAAGGGCATGAAAGACTGGTACACTGAAAACTGCAAATATTGATAAGAGGAATTAAAGATGACTTAAATAATTGGGGAGATTTACCTGGTTCATGGGTGCATATTGTTAAGATGTCAGTTCCCCCCAAATTGATCTAAAGGTTCAATATAATCCAAATCAAAATTCCAGTAGGCTTAAAGAAAAAAAGAAGCTGATCCTAAAATTCACATAGAAATGCAAAATATCTGGAGTAGCTCAAATAATTAACTTTTATTTGTTTACTTATTTACTGCCTTTAGGTAACTTTTGGAGGCAGAAGGGTATTAGTTTAAAAAATTGGCATTGGAATCAGATCCTGAACTCAAAATCCTAGCTCTGCTCATTTACCAGCTACATTGTCTTGAAGATGTAACTTAACTTGGGCCTCAGTTTTGCCCATCTGTGAAATGGGTTAAAATACTTACCTCATGGAGTTGTTGTATTGAGGTAATAAATATTTGAGCACTTAACACAGTGTCCAACATACATTATGTACTAAATAAATGTTCCATTGCTAGCTACTATGAAGACACTTGTACATACTGTGGAAATCCAAAGCCATATTAGATTAGACAGTGATGAAATGCTAAACATAGTTTATGATATAATCTTCTGTTTACAGAAGTCATATCACATAGATTCCAAAAACTCTTAGTTCAAGGAGTGTCAAACTTCATCGTTTCCTATTTAAAGAAAGATGTAGGGTAGCACATTCTAAAATTGAACCTTCTTTAAATGTGGTTTTCTATTTATATAGTTCCATAGCCAAGATTTGCTTTGGGACTGGAAATTCATGTTGACCCTGACAGTTTTACATTAAACAAACTCTACATTTAAGGGCTGAATAGTTTGGATGACTTGTGTTAATGTATATCTCTTCTGTTTTTTGAAGCCATAGCCTATATCCAAAAGTACCACAGTTGATGAAAAGTTGTAGGTATCTGTTTTGTTTGATGAATGAATGAATGGTTATTGTTTCTCTCTGGCAATCCAAACCCAGAGCTACTTAAAAAAAACTATGTATTTGCCTATTCCAGTAAACATCTATCCATTATCAATCTAGTTTTAAATTACTTCATTTTCCACATCCCTTAGCAATTATTTATTGTTTTTACGTGATTAATGTACTCATGTTACTTTTCACATATTTCCATACCTTTTTCTGTGTATGTTGTATTTTAAACTAAAAGATAATGCCTCTAGTGTGCAATACTGTATTTGCTGCTCAGCAGTGCCTCAAGTGCTGCAAAAAGGTAGACTCTCAATAGATGAGCAGGCTACCTCCTTTTGAAACATATTCTCTGGGTCACTGTGATCTGCCTTGAAAGAGAGTTTAGATACATAAGTTGTTTTTTTTTTTCTTTTTCACTCATATATTGTGTGACTTTGAGTAATAGTATTCCTTCAGTGTTCAGTTTAAGAATAAATTAAGAAACAATTTCCTAAAGAAAAACATTTTAAAGTTACAAAAGCATCTACATGTTGGTACCATTTCCCTAGAAATATTTAATGTAGTATGAAAGTCTGGACTGGTCAGTTTTAATCTTTTCTTGGAATTTCCATAGAAATATCCATGTAGCAGAGACCCTGAAATAGCATTATATAGAAAATGTTATTACTATAGAAAGAACCATAATTTCTTCATAGAAAGGAGTCAGAGATAATATCCTGGAGTTCTGCAATACTTAAGCTACTCCTAAGTTGTCTCACAACGGAATTAATGTCGGGGAACACATTCAAGGAATTGCTGAGGTTCAGAATAAGAGTGTACAAAGTCTAAGAGTGTTTTCTATCATGGATTTTCAAATAGTTAAATTAAGAGTCATTCACTCTCTGGCCTCTTTCTCGATTTACCCTTTCTAATGGCAACAATAAAGTTGTGCAACCTATACATAAAAGCAATTTCTAACAGTGCCAAACCAATAGCAGTTTCTGGGTCATTTCCATTCCTTCCTCCATGAAAATGTACAACATTTAGGTTATTCCACATATTTCCCCCACACCTCAAACTGTTAGGTTGCCAAAGAAAAACCAGTCAGTTTTGCCTTCATGTAGTCATTCTAAATACATGTAAAATCAGACATTAACTTGAAAATATGAGGGGAAGGAAAACATCAAACCATAGAATGGAGTTTTAGTTTTACTGACATTTATATATCACACTTCCTGTTTATGATTTCAGAAGTGCAACCATGCAGAGCTTCTATTAAAAACCGAGTAACTGGGAACAGTTTGAGGATTACAACGGCAACTTACTCAAAGGAAAAAAAACCTCTGAACTTACTGCTTGTGGAATTGCTATCTTTGTTTTGTAAAAAGTTGAATATTTTTTAAACATCATTTACTAGTAGTGTAATTAAAAGGGAACTTGATGGCCTTGTGCCTTTAAAACAAGCAGCCCAGTCATGGTCTTAGTTCTGAATTTGACTAGTTGATGGGATAAGAAAAAACAAGCCAACCCCTTACTTTCCATATATATTTTTATATGTGTGTGTGTGTGTGTGTATAATAACCTAAATGTTGTACATTTTCATGGAGGAAGGAATGGAAATGACCTAGAAACTGCTGTTGATTTGACACTGTTTAAAATAGCTTTTATGTATAGGTTGTAAAATTCATTGCTGTCCAAAGACAGGGTAGATGGTGAAAGAAGCCAGAGAGTGAATGACTCTTAATACACATATATGTTCATATGTAAATAAAGGTAGTTCTTGCAAACATTTGCTTTTTCCTCCCATTTTGAAATTTCAGTTGGCTGTTGTTATGCATTAATTAGCAATTAGTTCTGCCTAAAGGAGGGAAAGGGTAGAGGTGAATACAGTTCTTAATAAGAGGCCTTTTCTTCCACTACTAACTTGTTCTATTTGGAGCATAATTATATGAGTTAATTTAAATTCGTGACCACTTCAGAGAGAGAGAGAGAGTGTGTGTGTGTGTGTGGAGATTGAGAGCACCCAAGTGGGCACTGGCTGCTAGCTACACATCAAAAATCCATGTTCTCACTTCGTGGCCATACAGATAAAGCTTATTCCCAGCCTCCCTTGCAGTTAGCTGTGGACTTGTGACTAAGTTACAGCCAATGGAATGAGAGTGGAAGTTATATGTGCTACTTTGAGTCTCCACCCCTAGAAACTCCCCTTAAGAGAGAAGACTCCCCAGGGAGACCTTGGAACTTTGGTACTGAAAGCCTAGGTACTGAAAGACCTTGAAAACTAAGTATTAAACTACTTGTTTATTTTAGCAAGAAACAAACTTGAGCCATTATACATTTTGGGGTTATGGCAATTAGCCTACCCTAAATTAATTCAATATACAAAACTTACACTTGCAGTGTCCCTGTTATGCTGAACTCCTTGGCACCATTGACATTGTAATGCATGTAAATGGCATTTCGGAAGCACAATCAAGAGGCTACCAGTATGGACACATGGATGTATATAAATGTTCCCCCCAGGAGTTGTGCAACACTGCAGCTCTGCAAAAGGACCTCTAGCTTCTCCCTTGGGTTTTATTGCGTAGGAGCATCAATTTGTGTAAAGGCACTTCCCTTTTGTGTCTGTGGTAATAGATTAAGGTGGAATGGATCACTCAACCAGAATCTTAAGGGGGAACTGTATACTTAGGATCCAAATCAGATCTCTTTCTTGAATCTGTTCAATTGTGTTAGCTACATATTCTTCTTTTAACCATTACCCTCTGGCATGCATTAGGCCAACAGGAAGTGTTAGGAGTCCCCGTTCCCTCAGCCACTCAAGTTTACTGCTGTGGGTAACAGAAACTTTTTTGGGCTTCACTTTCCCTATCTGTAAAATGAGACAGCTGGATTATGTGACCCCAAAGATCCCTTCACTAAAATTCTACTATGTGTGACTACAGCGTCCATAGCTATTGGTAGAAATAATTGTTAATATGAATGTTCCTTTGGATTCCAAGTTGATGCTGTACAGATGCTTAAAAATAACTTGAAGTTTTAAGAAAGATGTTTAACTTGCACCAATTTCACAATAAAAGAGGCAGAACAGAGGTTCTACTCTTCTCCCAAGCGAAAATTATTAAATTGAAAAGATTTTTAACTCACTCAGGATATTTTTAAAATTATAAAGCAGTGTACCACCTCTCTGATCTCTTTACTCAGTGGGTGCAGTATCAAAGCTAATGCAGAATGTGACATTTATTGAAATACTACAAAAAAGTAAAAAAGTAAATCAACAGATTGTGTAGTTGTTCACTGAATTTACCTTAAGTTTTACTATGCCTAATTGTATACTTATGTTCTAATGTTTCAATGTAATAACAATTAATACTACATACAACGAGTTCAGGATCATTGCAAAATCACTGAAGTCATACTTATGTCATAGTCATAAACATATGACTTAGTGCTAAGTCACATTTTTTGTTATAGCTGACAGCAATGAATCTTTACCCGTTTGTCTGCTGGTAGAGATTTAATCTCATGGATTTCAGCTTTGGTTGAAGCTAAAAAATATACATTATCTGGACTTGATGGAGTTGGCTTTAATTCACATCCTTTTGCTTCAGGGGAGCTGCAAAAGTATGGAACTTGCTCAGGGATGAGACTGTTTTAGAAAGGAGAAAGGACAGGCTGTATATCATTGTCCAAAGTGGAGGTTTTATGTTAAGAGAAAGCCGTGTATAGGCTGGGGTAGATAAGAAGAGATACAAAAAAGTCACAGTAACTTTTTTACCCACAAAAGGAGCAAGGCAGAGAGCCTGCAATAGTGTTTCGAATACTAATAAACAAGTATGGATTCTAAATATCCTTAGATAATTGCAGACATTGGGAAACAATGTTTAAAATCAAAGCATAGATAAATAATTTTTAGTATATCCATATGTTGGAATGCCATGGAGATGTTAAAAACATGTTTTCAAAAATATTCAATAACATGAGAAAATAGTCATTATAAACGACAAATCCTTTATTGCTATCAAACAGGAATCAATCTTGTTCTTTCCAACCTTTACATTCTCCTCACGCCATTTCCTCCCTATCCCCAGTATAAATAGGAGCACAATGGAAGAAACATTTTAAGGAGAGTTGCATAGACAGTGAATTTTAAAGTGAAGGGATTTTAAAGTGAAGGGATTTTAGAGATTATTTAGTCAAAATCTATCATTCTGCAAAGGAAACTGACACAAGAAAATTAGAAATCTCGCTTCTAGCATTGCCACTTGCTAAAACCTGGGTTTCCTTACTCCCCAGATTTGGCACATTTTACCTTCTACTATAACATGCTACATCTGAGACTGGGTCAGACTAGATTAGAGAGAGTACTGAAGGTCAGGCCAAAGAGTATGAACTTTATTTTAGTTCTGTCTTTTTTTTTTTTTTTGGAGGCACTGGGTATAAGGCACAAGGGAATGACAATGATCAGAATCATAAAATATCTGTTGAGATCATCTATTTCCTAATAATTCTAAATCTTTAACTTTTTCTTACTCGGTACCACTTTAAAAATTCTTGGGAGAGAACTCAAATCATTTCTTTGTCTCACATAAATAATGCTGAGTAATAGAAGTGACTAGATTACAACTTATAACTATTTTATTTATTTGTTCATTTGCTTTTGTCTGTTTCTTCCACTAGAATGTTATCTTCCAGGAGGGCAGGCCTCTGTCTTTTTGTTGACTCCAGCACCTAGCAAGTATTTGACACATAAAAGATGTTCAGTATTTGGTGAGTGAATTAATAAATGACAAGCTTCTAAAAAGCAGTAATCCTTTATTTATTTTGTCTAGATTTCTTCTGGAAGTTTTCCCAAGTTTTGCAATTCCAGCACCATTCTCATTTTTAATTTTAGAATTGGGTGAATCTGCTTTATTCTACTTATGCTCTGCATTTCAGTCTAGCACAACTGAACTAGTAATTCTGGCACTCTTAAACTCTTGTGCCAAATTTGCTAAATTTGAGAATGACCTTGACCTGTAATTTTATTTAGATTTTTATCCTTAGATGAATGAGTACACTTACACCATGAATTAGTGGTGTACGTGTGAGATTAAACTGATGATGAGCCAGGAGACAACACTATTGGATGAGCGTATTTGGAAATAGGAAAAAAGAGATGGTAATACCTTGAAAAATAGAAGCATTAGGCTGAAATAAGTATACATTTGAACTTCTATCTCAGATTAAGTGTAAGTTTCAAACCTGACAAAAAGAAGTAAATAATATTTTGAAGAGTGGATTTTTCCTTAAAGGTTATTAAAATAAAAACAAAACAAAAACACTTGAGCCTAAATTTAAATACTAATCTCAATTTTAAAAGGTAGGCTTAATTTCAATATAAATGTATACAGAGAATTAAAAGAGATTTTTTTTTTAACAACAAAATTTTTACCAGATGAAGAAGCTTAAAAATATTGGCCTTTTAGCCCATTTCTAGGAATTTATCCTAATTTAGGAAATAATCTGAAATGCTAAAATAGATTTATGCATAAAAAAGCTCACAGCAACATTATTTATAAGAAAGTAAGGAAAATAGCTTAAATGACCACTTAAGGAAACACTACTCCACACAAGGGTCATTATGTAGCCATTGAAAATGTTTCTAAAGAGTTTTAAATAACTTGAGGAAACATTTCTGATAAATTGTTATGGAAAAAGGCAGTGTACTCAAGCAAATAGTTTAAACTACATAAGCTTAAAAAGCTCATGGAAATATGTCAACTGCAATAGTCAGTTACCTCTAAATAGAGGAATTATTGTTTATTTTTTCCTGCTGTCCTTTTTAAAATATCTTCTTTATTTCAGTTAAACGTATTTTCAAATTTGTCTTCACTTGCATGTACTACTTTTGTAATCAGAAAAAGAAACCAATTACTTGGCATAGATACATGTTTATGTCCCAATGATATGTTTTCTGTATCATCACATGAGTATAAAGACTGTTGACCAAAAGAAAAGTTTAATATTATTTGAATCCAAGTAATGTAGTTTCCAAAACAAACACTGATACATATCCTATAACTTGTAAAGCTGTGATGGTTTAGTACAATTTACTAATTATTTTGACATGGCAGGCTCTCAGCATGTTCACTGATGATGGAGATGGTTAGAGAAGGGATACTTCAATTAATTTACCAAGTTCCTTGAATCCGTCAGTTAGCAACTCTCTTACTAAGAGATTAATGGTATAGTCTGATGTTAAAAAGCTGTCCATAAAAATCTCCCTTAGTTCGGGTGGTACGTTTTTGCAAACTATTATTTTGTACTTCAAAAAGAACAGTCTCTTACAAGCTAATTTTTTTACAAACATAAGAGGGAGAAAAATTTTTTCTTACTTTGTTTATATTGGCAAGCTACGAGCTTCAAGTAAGATTCTGTGATCTGACACCACCAGTAAAAAAGGTTCCTTGTGGAAGTAATGGCAACTATACTTACCTTGTAGGGTTGCTGTGTTTTAGAAAGCATGTATGTAAAGTGCCTAGCATAGTGTATGGTGCACAGGCATTCAGTAAACAGTGGCTATTATAATAATACATAATATTCTTATGACTTCTTATCTGTTACGTTGCTATATATATGGGGAAATGAAAAAATGTGCAGTGTAGTCTATTTAAAAACATTTATTCTAGATTTTCAGATAAAGGTGGGGAATGAAGGCAGATCACAAAATCTTTCTCCCCAAATACTTTACAAAACAGTTTACACAAAACAAAGAACAGGTAAATAACTCCTTTAAAAACATCACCAAAAGTAGCCAGAAAAAGAAAATGTCTGCAACCTAAGCCAACAAAAGGCCGAAATACTACTATTATTTCAAAATAAATAAATTTGGAACAGCAAGAAATGGAATAAGCATGGCTAGAAATCAAATTCTCACCAAAAGGAAAGTCTGGCCATCCCAGCACGTTCCCTGGTCAACTCGAGTTGATTATGCCTCATCTCCTCTCTCCTAGGACTCTCGCATTTCCCGCTCCTCACTTCACACTCTCATTTTATTGATAAATAGAACCTGTCACAAAAGAAACTCATATTTCCCTTGCTGTACCTATCAGCCCACCTTCATCTGTACTCATTTGTACTCTCTTTTCCTTAAAAGGGTCAGCATCCCTGCTCTTATGTAAGGCAAGCACCTCTACTTGTGCCTTGGCTCCCATCTTTTCTTGTAGAGTCAAGGATTCTGCTTCTGTGATTATCATCTCTATTTCCTGCATCCTCAGTTTCTCCCTCTTTATTGGATTATTCCAATCAATAAGCATACTGTAATATTTCCCAGCCTAAAAATACCATCACCCTAGACCTCGTATCCCTTTCTACTTACATGGTGAATAGGAGCCCATTTTTCTGTTCCCCTTTCTAACAGACTTTTAAAAGATTGTCTAACTTGGAGTTTCCACTTCCTCATCACCATACATTATCTTTTTAGTCCATTCCAATTAGGATTGTCTCCACAGCTCCACCTAAACTGCTCTAGTTGACATCACTAATTACCTTCTTGCCAGAACATTATTCTCTTCCCAAATGTTTGGAACTCCCAGATATATTCCTCACACTTTTTTTCTTCTCCATCAATATTCATTCCCTCCTAGGTCATCTTACCCAATTTTTCTGGTTTTAAATATTGCTTGTATTCTTAGAACTCCTAAGATTTTTTTTTTATCCCTAATACCTCTTTTTGAGCTCTGACCTCATATCCAGCTGCCTGCCCAGAAACTACACTTAGAAGTCTAATAAAGACCTCAGAGTTAGCTCATTCAAAATAAATATATTTATTTTCTTCTTCCCCTCAATTTACTTCTCCCCAAGTTTCCTCCATGTCAATAAATGACATTATTTTTTACCCAGTTGCTCAAGACAAAAACCTAGAAATCATCCTTAGTTCTTCTTTGTGCCAGTAATTAAGCTGTTATCTCTTAGAATAAACTCTACCATACTATGCTCTATGATGCTGGGACTGGGACTCTCTGGAAACTACTACTATTTCTACTTCATCAGCTGACTCCTTGCTACAGTCCGTCAATAAGGGGCATTAGAAAAAAGACTAAAGGTCAAGAAGAGGGGAAAAGAACTTGCTCTTCCTTGTTAGCTTTCTGCACCTGCCAGCACTGCCCCAGGTATGGCCCTTCACCCTGACAGCAGCGGTTTGACCCAAATTTCAACTATTTTCCACTCACCTAGAACCAGCCCCAACGTATGCTCTCAGAGGTACCAGCATCAAAGGGGCAGCAGCCCCTCACCGCCCCAGGTCAGAGTTCCAGCCCTGCCAAGCCTCCTCTCCTAGCTCCTGGGTTCTAGTAACTTAAGGTCTTCCCACATTTATCCAGGACTAGGGGTAGTAGCTACTTCCTGAAGTTACTCTATCGTCTCACTGTTCCCTTTTTCCTTTTCCAGTTCAACAGCATCTGTTTGACCAATTCTTTATATTCAGTTTATTGCTGTTGAAATAGTTAGTAGCCAGAGTGAGTCCACTAAAGCAAATACCATCTCCTTGCTCCTCATCACAGTTAGATAGAACAAAACTCAGTCTTCTCTCTAGGGCCTCCAGCTCCTTTTGTGACCTGGCCTATTTAGTTCTCTAGTCTCATCTCTTACCACTTTCTGGTTACCTGTTTGGTTCTAATCATTCTTGAACACACCGCTTTTCTACTGCAGAGCAAGCCTTTGTGTTTTCTCTTCTCTGTATCTGGATTGCCCAGGTCTTTGCCTAGCTCCCTGCCTAGCTTCATATATGTCTCTTCTCAAATGTCATCTTAGGCCTGCTCTCACTGCAGTATCTAAAATGGACAATTCCTTCCCCCACCCCTCCATTTCCTTACCTTAGTTTCTTCTAATTGTCACTACCTGACATTGTGGTGTTTGTTAACTTCTCCCTCCCCTATCCTCAAGTAAAAGCTTCATAGCTTCATAAAGGCAGGGATGTGATCTTATTTACCACTGCTGGCACTCAATAAATTCCAGTTGACAAATGAATTTAATAAATAAATTGCAGTGAATGCAGAAGAAAAGTGGACCAAAGTAACTGCAAAGAAGATAATATGCAAGTGAGACAAAGGCAGCATGAAATATAACCTGATTCAGCTCCCTGAGTACATGATGCAACAAATGAATCAGAAAAAGCACTTAAAGATGTAATAGAAGAGAATTTCCACAAAATCATGAAACAACTAAGTCTGCAGAATAAAATGTTCAAAGAAAAATGGACATAATATTCAGTATCAAGGCATATACTGGTTGAGTGACAATAAAGAATGAAGGAAAATCTTCAGACCTCTGGGCAAAAAATTAAATAACTTATAAGAGGGAGGAAATCATGCTGGCCTTAGACTTCCTCTAAGCAATATTTAAAGCCAGAAAACAAAGGGAAAATGTCTGCAGTTTTAAGGCAAAGCCAGTATGACGCCACACTATTATACCTAGATAAGGGTCATTCAAAAATTGATGAAAAAGGCAAACATAGCGTCTATGAATCCATGTAGGGAAAAAAAAACCTACTTAGTTAAGAGCAGATAACCAAGTGATGAATCAAAATTAATACCTAGGAATTGAGAATCAAGGTGTGTTGTGACCACTGGATTTTAAAATACAGATCAAGACCAAATGACCAAAGGGATTAAGGTTATAAAACAGAAACATTAAAACTTTGACTTTTTAAGAATAACAATGTAACAAATAAAAAACACATTTTTTCATAGGAGGGTCTAATGGCATTTCTAAATTGGTAACAGAGAGATTTAAAAAATCTCCAAGCTCTTAATTTTTCAAACTTTGGATATTTTAGGAAATAAGATATCTTGCAAAGAAACATTTTTCTAAAAGTTTAGCAGTTCCTTCAACTTATCTTACTACTACCAAATTCAAATAATTTTAAATTTGATACTTTTCTCCTCTTAAATAAGATTATGTTGTTTGTATAAATGCACAGAATATGCCTACCATGATGGTCATTTAATATTGATGGTAAAATTTGGGATCTGAGGAAATTTTAAAACTTTCCTGTAACTTTCTATGTTGTTTAAATTATTTATAAATGAACATGTATTGTTTTTAGGAAACCAATAAAAATACTATCCTTAAAATACTATTATACACAACAATGTGAATATACCTAATACTATTTAACTACATTTTAAAATAGTTAAGATGGTAGATTTTATGTTCTGTGTTTTTTATCACAATTAAAAATAAAAAATAATATTGTAAAACTTATGATAAAAAATAGGTCCAGCCATTATGGCTTTACAGATGAATTCTGACTATACCAAATTCTCCCCAAACCAACTTTCCAGTTACCCCTCAAATTATACCTTTCACATAATATTCTGTACTTGGCTATACCAGTATACATCTAATTTAATTTTAGAAACAGAGATTATTCACTGGCAGATATTATTGTTAAGTATGCAAAAAGATGCATATAAAAAGTAACTAGTATGTTGTGTTACTCTATTAAATATCTTAGTGTTGTAAGAATATAAATATATTTCTATTTATATATTTGGAAGGAATCTTTTAATGATTATTTTCTGGATGGTTAAAATAGTATGAGCTCTTTTTAGAAAATATGAAAAAGGTAAAAATTACCATAATTACATAACATACTTGGGTACATTCCCCCTTACCCTTTTCCTTTACATATAAATCAATAAGAAATAGTTTAATAACCTGAAAGATTTATCTGCACATTAAATTAAATATTAGTATTTCTCTGTGGCATTAAATATTCTTAGTGGTTGCAAAAATTCCATTAGATTGATGTACTATGGTTTATTTAATCACTCCTATACTGGTGAATATTTAGATTATTTCTTCTCTATAGATGCTGTAATGACCATATATAAATCTCTGACTTAATAGTTGATTATTTTTTTAGGATTGGTTCCTGGAAGTGGAACTACTATATCAGAGATTTGGACATATTTAAGACTCCAGAAAGGTAATACAGTAATAGATGAGTTTGTAAATTTCATTGCATTCTTAGCAACATGAGTTATTAGCACTTATTTTCAATCTCTGTCAATCTGATGAAGTGACTTTTTCTGTAATTTAGTTTGATAAAGTTGTGTTTTTGCTCATACATTCATATCAATAACTACTATTTCAAGGACTTCTCCATCATGCTTAACATAGATCCTTGCCCAATGTTGAAGAAATGTATTTTTTTATTGACTTTGGCAATATTTCTTTTAAAATAAATTATATTTTGAACATATAGAAAGGTGAAGAAAAATAACAAAGAAGGATCCAGATTATGTTACTTAATAAAAAGTAAGACTGTATTCAATTCTTAATGCAGTAGTAGACAGAGCATGATTACTATCAGCTAGCAATGTCCTATTTATTGAATTTATTGATCAAAATCATATTGAATTTATTGCTTAAATGTGCCATTTTCACTATAGCACTTTCCAAAATGCTTCAAAATGCTTAGTTTATAAGGTTAAGAGAAACATTCACTAGATAACTACTTTGAAATAATTTCCTCAACCCTGCCATCATTTAAGAGGCAGAGAAACAGACTGGCCCACTTCCAACTTTCTTTCCTGTTATCTTTGCTATGAAGTCATTCTATAGATAGGGTAATAACCATTCTGGCCTACAGAGAAATAGCATCTGTAAAACTATATGGCACAGTTTGGCTGGGGTTGTTCCTCCTTCGGAACTGCATTACGTAATTTAAAAGTGTTTACTTAAGCTCCTTTGGGCTGCCTCCATGGTAGCTATGAAGTCACTGAGAATTAGAAACAGTTTGGGCCTGATAACAAAGTCTGTTAGTTTAGCGTGAACCCTTTGTCAAGTTTTTTTTTTTTAATCACTGCTGTATAAGGAACTTTAAAACTTTAATTTTAAAAGATATACTTGAATTTAACTTGCTACTTCAAAAATCATTAAGAAACACACACACCCCCAAAGGGTTCATAAATGTACATTTGCTCATTACCTAGATGTATTTATTTTAAAACCTGTACTCTATAGCATGAATTCACAGTGTGATTTTTGACTCAGTATAACTGTAAATAATTATGCAAAATTGCTAAAATGTATATAGGTATTACATAGCCTTTAGGAGAGTATGAATTCTTAAAATAGCCCAAGCATCACTTCTATCTGAATCGTAAAGGAAGTCTTTCTAAGAGAACATGAAAGATATATAAATTATATCAGCTTTGGGAGAATTTTAAAAGATACTAAGTTATAAGAAAAGATTATTTAATCTTGATTGCACAAAGAAAGGTAGTATTTTCAGTTCCTTCAAAAGATAACTTTTGAGCCCCTTTACCAACAAATAACAATGGGTACTGGTTTTAAACAAAAATAAAGCAATATGCATTATAAAAGTGAGAGAAGAGTCATTCAAGTTTTATATTGTAATAATCAAGTGTACTATCACCTCAAGGAAACATGCAAATTCTTAAAATCCCAACCATCACTTTAGAATTACTGAGTTCTATGAATAAATAAGCCTAAGTACAGTCAAGATCCTGACATCTAAAAACATACAGCCCTTTTTTTAGAAATGTTATTTTGTCTTAATTATATAACATGGATGTATTATAAAATTACTTACTAGAATAATCTCCATAGCATTTTGATTTTTAACTTTAAGAAGTAAGGACATTCACTGATGGCCTTGCCAGTGATCTAGTAAGGTCCAAAGCCAGGGACAATTCAAGGGGGAGATGAAAAAAACTTTTAGGACCTGATCACCTCCTTGGAGGTACAGCCACTGTGGGGGGTCCTACCTAGCTTGGGAGAGAGAGGTGTCTGTGTACAGGAGGCTTGACTTGAAGGGGAGGGAATGGTCACGAAGGAGAAGTGGGGAAGATTATAAGACTGCCACTCAGATTGGCTCATGATTAGCTTTGCTGTAACAATGAAATGCTTGGGTTTTTATATTCCATTCTATGTCAAAAAGAGGATATTTATTTGGTTTCTTATGCTTAAACATTTTTCATGTAGACATACTGTTTATAAGTCTATTTAGCTGAAGTTAATATGAGTGATGATTTTAAACACACTGCAAATTCTTTGACACTGTTCCCATTAAAAGGTGGAATCTAATTCCCTTTCTAGAATCTATATGGCATTATTATTTTTTAACATTTTTTATTGATTTATAATCATTTTACAATGTTGTGTTAAATTCCAGTGTAGAGCACAATTTTTCAGTTATACATAAACATATATATATTGTCACATTTTTTTCTCTGTGAGCTACCACAAGATCTTGTGTAAATTTCCCTGTGCTTTACAGTATAATCTTGTTTATCTATTCTACAATTTTAAAATCCCATTATATGGCATTATTGATTTGCCTCTAACTAATAGAATATGATGGATAGGCATCTCCAGTCTTCTAAGATTAGGTCATAAAGAGTGATACAGCTTCACCTGGCTGTCAAGTCTTGGGATCCTTAGAACCTAGCAGCCCTATTGTGAGGAAGCCCAGACCGTAAGGAGAGGCCACGTGCAGGTGTTCTTGTTGACAGCCCAGCTAAGGTCCCAGCCGTTCATCAATACGGATTAGGAGACATGCAAGTGAACACACCTTCAGGTGATGCAAGTGAACACGCCTTCAGGTGATGCAAGTCTCTAGCCTATGAGCTGTCCCAGCTGACTCCCAGTGGATTAGAAACAAGCTGTCCCTGCAAAGCCCCACCCAAATTGCATATTCATTATCAAGTAACATTATTGTTTTAAACCACTAAACATGGTTTTGTGCTTGAGTCCCTGCTTTCAGTAAATATCTAGCTCAGGTTAGCTAGCTGTAACAACTAAGAAGGAGAAGGAGGAAGCAAAAGAAAACCCTTTCCCTCCACTTTTCCTCGTTTTCCTAGCCAGACTGAGATCTTAGCACGTCCTAGTACTAATTGTGGACAACTAACTGATTTGGAATTGCTATTAGGAATAAAAAAAACATCATCAGGGGGTCCCATTTTAGCCAAAGTCCTTTTCCTTGAAGGCTTAATAGTTGAGCAGGGGAAAAAAGAAAGCTTGATTCCCACCATCTCTCCTTTCCTTCTTCCCTAGGTATCCCTGGTTTTTGTTTAGTTTAGTTTTGTTTTGTTTTTTGTTTTGTTTTAAAGAGGGGAAAGCAAGATTTAATCCTCTCCTGCCCTCATCTCCCTTCTGAATTCAATCTTTAGGATGGTACTTTTTCACTGAAAGGGTGCATAGCCTTTTCAGTCGTATATGGGGACCAAACCAGCCACATGTTTTCATTCCTTATCAAGGAAGCAAAACACAGTTTCTCCTCCTGAACCTGAAGCCCATGCTTCCTCCCAGTCCACACCCCAGACCAGAAATCTGGGTCTAAATCCCTTGCCCTGGCCCCACACAGCCAATCTCTTTCTCATTCCACCTACTCTTTTAAATTACTTTTCTTAAATCCTTCTCTCTATCCCCACCGCCACTAGGTACACAGCAGTAATCCTAGTCTAGTCTTACTTAGATCACAGGCTGTTTGACATTCCATCCTTCAATCTCCACAACCCCAACTGGTGTAGTCTTTTCAAAGACCGGTAATCTTCTCACACCTGACCATGCATTTTCCATTAGAAACAATCCTTTCATGGTTCTCCCCTTCCTATAGGTTTTAATCCTGAGGCCCAATAGTCATTTACTCACAAAGCAGAGTAAACACTTTGAAATCGTATGTAAAATTGTAGTAGAGGTCTAAAGATGCACTTTTCTGCTCTTAGAAGGGTGTATGTCCCCCCAAAGACTAAAAATGTGTACGTCTCAGGCTAAGGTCTAAACTCCCCAGCATGGACTACAAAGTCCTGTGTGACCTGGCCAACCGTCCAGCCTCCTTTCTCTCCCTTCTTTTTGCTCCGGTCACATCCCATCCATACTTACCTCACTATAGTTCTTCACTACAGGCTTGTACATGCTGCTTTACTGGCTCAGCTTGGGAAGCCCTTTCCTTTCCTCTTAGCTGGCCTAACTTTTGCCCTTCCAGGAAACAGCCTTCTTTCTTTTAAGAAGTACCTCAGGTGGCCATGCAACCTATAGAAAGCTGTGCAGGCTGGACAAGCTAGGTGTGAACTCTTGCCTCCCTAAGCCAGCCTAGCAATTGCTCTTTCTTTTAGCATCTACCTCCTGGATTTCCAAACTAGGATTGGGAGAAAAGAAAAGAAAACCATAAAGTAAAACCTGTAAAACAAGCAGTGGCTGATAACTGTGCAGCACTAATACACAGCAGAAGAACTCTAGGCTGTACTATACGTTTTCGTAATGCTTTCTTGGGAGGGAGAGATTGGGTGGTAAATGTGTAATTTATAGTTGCCAGCAGAGTTTTGATGATAAATACAACACATCTTCCTGTTACAGAATATCCTGTAAGAATTTTCAGTATCATCCAGTTTTCTTTTTTTTTTTTACACCCAGCCACCACATGGTGTTCTGTTTAACAAATCCTGCAATTAATAAACAACAGTTCTGATATTCTGCCATCTACTAGGACTGCTGGCTCATTTATCTGAATTATTTCTCTTTGGGTCACTTGACATCACCAAAAAAAAAAAAAAGACTGTCTATCATCAAGATGTATCCCTAAAATTCTCCATCTACCCTGGAAGATGTTTCATCGGTTCATCTTTTTGATGATAAACCATGTTCTAAGCCTGCTCATAAGACCTGCTGTGTCTTACAGCACAGGCTGTAACAGTCAACCTTTTCCTCTTTCAAAAAAGTTGTCTTTTAATTGTTGCCTCCAAACCGAGCTCTTTGCCCTCTTTGGGCGGACAGATCTGAGCGAAGTGTATTTCCCTGCTAGTAACGCATCAACTTATAAATAGCGCTCACCGCGCTGAGTCACCAAAACCCCGAGTTTCCCCAAATAGCTTATAACGACTGCTGGAATTGCGTCCCCCAGAGCAGTGGCAAACTCCTGTCACACACCCGCGAGGCTGGATTGTAGGCCCCCGCCGCTGAGCGGGTCTCCAACCACCCGGCGTCCAGGGAACGAGGGCAAGGCTGCCTTTTTCCAACCAGGAGTTGAGCGTCGGACCTCGGGCGCGAGGATGGCGCTCTTGGGACGCGGCCGGACTTGGCCTTGACCGCTCAGGGGCCGTCCCCGCCCCCTCCGGAGCTGGGAGCCGTAGGGGGCCGGCACCAGCCTCCGCCCAGCACCGCCCGCTCACACAATGGGGCGCGTCTCGAGAGGCAGCGGCGGCTCCCGCTCTTGTCCCTGGCCTGGGACTCTCGGAGGCTAGAGAAGCACCTAGGGGCTAGGGTCGTAAGGAAAACCCCTGTCTCCCCTCCTACACTTCGAAATGGCTGCAGCCGCCAGCTTGGGGGCTGGGGGAGCAGAAATGGGGGGAGGGAACGGAATGCCACCCCCTGCAGTCAGGGGGATGGTGACGTCACCCTACTGTCAGCCTGTAGCGGGGGCGTCTACCCGTCACGTGACCCCAACCCCACCACTCCCCGCCGAATCCCGCGCGCGCGCGCTCCCTCCCCCAGCCCCTTCTCCCCAACTTTCGCCCTCCCCGCTCCAACACGGCTGTCAACAGCGCCAGCTCCGCCCCCTCCCCCGCGCCCTGTGTAACCGCCACGGCGGCGCGGCGGGCGCTCGCTCTCAGGTCCGGGCTCCTGGAGGAGAGCGTGTCTCCTGGCCTCACCTAGCTCACCATTCCCGGCGCGCTGGGTGCGTGGGCAACGGAGCCAGGGTGCGCGGTGGCGTGCGGCGACAGCGCTTCTCCGCTCAGCCCTCCCACAGCCGCTACAGGACGAGGCGGAGACGCCAGGTCCGAGCTC